GCTGTGGTCATGACGTTAAATGTAGAAATACGGCACTCAGTAATAAACAGAAATTCGTGAGATCGTTACATTGTGCCAACAAATTCGCAATTTTATTTCAGATACATACAAGATAATAAAATTAAGAAAGGAAAATTATCCTGCCATCAGGACACTCGTTTTCGACTGGTGCAATCAATTTAAAAACGGCGAATACAAAATTTCTAACAGGAAAGTGTGAGAATAAAAGTTGAAAATTGACGGGACGTTAGTGACGTCAATTGCAAAAGCGCTGTAAATGGATCGACGGTAAACAGTATGCGGACTGTCCGGCACTTTTTATGTCTGCTTCGGGTCTACTTATTCAGTTCTCACCAAATATTGTATGTAAGACATTTCTATCAAACGCTTTTTTATTGTATCTCATTAGATATACTTGGTTTTAATAAATTAATATAATCATGATTAACGGTAATGATTTGTGGTATTTTCTCCAATTTTGTTTTAATAAATGATACCTTTCAATTGATAAATATTGTTATTTTACTGTATATAATAATTTTGTTTTAAAAACGTACGTTGACATACATGTGAACATTATATAATAATATAAACCGCTTTTGCATATTTAGCATTATAAGTCCAGGCTTGTTGAGTTCCCAGTTTACTAAACATATTCGAGAAAAGTGGAGAATGGCCGGCTATCGGGCATATTTCTTGGAGAGTTGAACGAAATTGTGATTTTTTTCTTCCTCGTTTAATCTCCACACCTGATACCTGATGATGGTCACATAATTCAGACACCTGGAACACAAGCGAGAATACTTTCAGGATGAATGACATTGTTATATTTTTTATTTAGTTAACGACGTCATGAACGTCATTTATTGTATTGTTAGCGTGCGCCGGGTTTCGTACCCCTACTCATTTGAAAATTTCACAGAATTGTTATTTGTAAACATTTTGTATTGAATTTTTCACTCTATATAGAGAACATGGTCCGATATTTGTTTCTTGTAAAATTATGTACGTAAATTAAAAAATGTGAACATTAGAGCTGCAGTCCTATAACTTTTTGAACAACCCTCGTATACATATACTAAATAGTAAAGCATTTTCACAGACTGTCATTTTTACAGACCTTCACAAACAAAATGCTATTATTTCCAGGCACTTTAAACTTGGACATGTTTTCTTTTTTTAAAACAGTAAAAGGCTAAAGGTGATACATTTGTATAAATCCGTAAAAAAACAGCTTTGCCCAGAAAATTACAAGTTTGAAATAAACGAAGATATGTTGTACACGCAAGACTTGCCAGAAATTGTTATAGGCGTCAACTCGAATTAAATGCAGAAACATAATTTCGATGCTGCCAAAGATGACAGAAACGTTGTGACAGTTGCTAATTATTTATAAAATATAGGTGAAGATCATTCTATTGTTTTCCAAACTATTATTAGTAACTGAGACGTACACTTATCAATTAAAATATATTATTAAGATAGAAAGTAGACGCAACAATGATCAATCTATGATTTATGCTTAATCTATTGCATTTAATGTAATTAAAAATCAATTGAAGTCTGCCAATCAAATATAGTTTAATACTTTAATGAGACATCTTATGATCCACAGTGCCTTTGTTTGTTTTTCATGCACGAAACTTATAATACGAATTAAAAGACATATGTAAATATTTGAAATTATGTTAAAATTAACTTTAATCTCTTTTTTAGGATTTGACATTAGTTTTCATTTTATATACATTTTTATGACAAGAGTTCCGGAGAATATTTTACTGCCAGCCTCTGGCAAGCTTAATTACATTTTTGCCTGTTTGAATGCCAGATTCGTTTTATCAAATGCCTAAATTGTATTAAAACAGTTGGTCTGTCTACTGTACAACGTTATTTTTTATTTATACAAAGAACAAGAGTTCCGTTATATAACGTGTGCGTCATCTACAGAAATTTATGTATATCGATTATATTACATAGATAAACAGAAGGTTATTTGATTCATAGAGTGTATGCAAATTAAAATTATTACCAAGATAGCCAGTTGCTACGTAAAATCTTGCCCATTCTTACATCAAATTTTGTTACTACTCATATGCACTATTAAACCTATTTATTTGATAAAGAATGATCATTATTCACTCATGAAATAATGTCATTTGCTAGAAAATGAATATAAATATCCACGTACATAACTGTAACATTCTAAATTATAACATGCAAATAACCTACAACGAATTTAATTTTAATTTATGCATACAAAATGCATTATCTTTAACACAGTTTTATTTAACATGATGAATCTTTTTTTCTTGAAAGTGCATCTCAAGAAAATGTCTTTCCTTGTATTCAATGAATTAACATCAATTTATAAAAGTTACACGTCTCAGGTTCGTAGGAAAGTACGCAAAAAGAATTAAAACAATGCAAATGATTACTGTTGTTCGGAATCCGAGGCACACTTAAAGAACCATTTCTCTGATATTTTCACTGTTACAATAAACCTGCTGATGTAATGTTGAAAATATTGAAGAAACTAGTCCAAAAATACCCCTGAGAGTACATGTGTACTTACAGTAAATGGAACATGGTATTGGCCTTATTTACGTCATATAACTTTCTATACCAAATGTGAACATATCTATAATAACCGACACATTTTACATCTCTCTTACCACGGCAGCTGTATCGAAATGATGATGTTGTTTGTTTACCGTTATATCTTGCTTCAAAACATTATGTAGCTTCTCGAAAGCGATCATGTCAACTCGTCCCGTGGTCAACTCGCCCCGTGGTCAACTCGTCACCTTTTAGGTGGTCAACTCGTCCCCTGTTTTTGGTCAATCCGTCCTCAATGAGTCAACTCGTCCCAAATATAGTTAACTCGTCCCCTTGTTTTGTTCACCTTGTCACTAATAAATTTTAAACCAATGTCTTAAAACATTTCTATTATTTAAGACAAAGATTTATATAAATCTTTCAGCTGTAATAAAATCTAAGTGAATTTGGTAAAATCGGATAATTGATAAAATGATGTGTTTTAGATGCATTTTAATGATCTTTGTTTAAATGCACGTGCATGGAATTGATATCATAATACTAAATAAAGACGGGTAAGTTAGCAAATATTGAAAAAAATGTTAATCTACTGTTTCCAAATTTGAATTCATATTCGTTTAACTTTTGTAGTTTTTAGTGGTTTTGAAAATATTTTGTCCGTCTCTTTGAACCTGAATGGTTTAAAGAATTTAACAAAAATGACAAGTGCAAAAACGTTACGTTAATGCGTAGCGTTCATAATTTTTAAAAAAGCGTGTCAATAAAACGAGATGATTGTTTGTTGGAAATTGACAGTATAAATGTTGCCATGATAGATATAAAAATATTATGCTTTATTTCCCGAAATTTCTCCCAAGCCGATAAAGGGATTGAATAAACATCTCTTTTTTTAATACATGCATAAATTATGATATTTTGCTTTTTTTGTCTTTAAAAAATCATACAATGACATTTGCAGCGCATACACATGTATATGTATATTGCGTAATATACCATATAACTGTTTGAAAACATTTAAAAAAAGCATTAACAGATATGCAAATATCAAGAATTCATTACCTGTAAAGCTTTGTATTGATTCTCATGCGAAATCTAAATTTAATTAACGAGTTCCAGATTTTGTTGTTGTTGTTTTTATTGGTAGTAAATGAATTGAATTTAAATACTGTAATTACAGTTCGTTATATTAATATTTTGGAAAATATGCATTTATTTAATAACTATTGGCACGATTTTCACGTGAAATTTTGAAATACAAATTACAAAGCGTTATTCAAGTATTATGATATGTTCTGTTTTGTACAATACATGTTTTTTGATATGTGATCTTCTCAATGTTCTGTGTTTGTTGTTTGTAAGTTAATAAAGTAACAAATTTGTCAGATAAAACCTATAATTATGATTGCGAAAAGATAAACCTTAATTTAACCATATTACACATACATAAATATATATAGCACACGAAATGGTAAAAATGTATCCCTTTGCCAATTTCAGCAATTCTCTTGCATGGTTGTCTAAAGATATGTCTTAAACTCTCTGATAATTTATCAAATATCAATAATAAAAAGTGGACGAATTTGGGGAGAGTTGACCACGGAACGGGTTAACCACTGGACGAGTTGACCAAAACGGTGACGAGTTGAACCCATTAAGTGTTGATTCGGAGTCTCTCGAACAGACATAAAGACAGACAGACAACAGACAGACAGATGCATAAGGCGGCATGTTGGGCATAACACTACACTTGATTATCCAAGTTCCCTCAGGCATAAACAGTTGAACAAAATTATGCATTGACTGAAATCTGTTCATCCAAATTATAAATTATGGTGAATTTACAGTTATTACACGCAGCAATATGATGCCATCCAAGATTTGTTTGATAATACAGCACTGGATCTTGATTACTAAATCGCCATATCATACTCACTATGTTAGTGTAAAATTGACTATATTTCCAAAAGCTACTGTAATTGTCTATATAATGTATACTTACGTCAATTCTTTAACTCGTGCAATATTGTATGATATAAACATAATGAGATGACAGACTTTGATGTTAAAGCTATCAGATATATGTAATTTTCCTCTTTAAATGCTAAACACTCGCTGACTGGTTGGAATTCAAATGGTTTAATTTGGCTCTATTTCGGTTAAAATAACTACGAACTTTAGAAATGAACATCTCCATAATAAATGATAGTTCATTGTTTCTCGTTATTTCTATGTCATCAAAATATTATTATGTCATAATGTATTTTATGCAAATAATGACTATAAAATTATTTGATAAATGATGAAATTAGGTGCGCGATATGAGAGTAGAAGAGATAAATAACAAATAACACGATCATGATGTAATAAAATTGTCTGTCAATTTACTTTTTTCGTTTTATCTTTTGATTGTTGAAATAGAATAATACACTTGGGACTTGAAATTTCATCAAATTATTTTTGTATCAAAATTAGTTTTGGGAAACGTACACGTTTGTCTACGTGTTTGTAAATATAAAGGAAAGACAGGAATTTTTGCCATTAAAAACAACCTCTAGACAAGCAACGTTTAAACTCTGAAATGGTTTGCAAAAATGGTAAGTACCTTTATTCACATAGTTACATTCCATGTAAATAACATGACTACTTATCAATATAAAAAATTATTAACATATTGTATCAATCAAGATGAAATAAGAATACTTTTGGGAATACTTACTAAAGTGTTTTTCAAAATTTCAATGAAAGATCTTTTAAGTTTATATCATTTTCCTCACATAGAAATATCGAGAAACAATGAAGTAAGAAAAGTATATTTTTGAAGTTCATAGTTATGTGAATGGAAATAGAACCTATTTATTGTCTGAAAAATATAAAATAGAAAACATAGGAGGATTTTACAGAACGTACACATATCAAATAGAAAATGTTGTAAATTTGAATGATTAAATGATAAACGTCGTATGAGCACAACTTCAGATGCAAAATTTTACCATAAAAGTTCAAATTTGAATTCTGTCTAATCTAGTGTTAGAGGGCGTGAACGGTGGTTTGCAATTTCCCCTACTTTCCATGCAAAGACTTTATCAAACAGAGCCTCTTACTTTTCAAGTTTGTGGTTTCGGATGTTCCTAAGGAGTCCTTCCATTTTCTCCCTTTTTGACAGAGCCTATTCTTAAAACGAAGCCGCACGTCAATGCAAAAAAAACTGCCAACTATTGGCACCAACAGAAGCAAAGACCAACATTTAAACACGTATAGGGTGAAACAGTGAATTATGCAACATACGATAATTAAAGTGCTGCACAATATTTAAATTCAAGTTACTGGGAACTAAACATATAATGTCATGTACCGGTACATACATTTATTTCATCATAAGAAATATAGGGTTGGCTATCAATAATATTTGATGTCCTGTTTTTTTTGTAGATTATGGTTTAGTTTAAATTATTTCAATCTTGTCTATATTAAAATGCGTACTTTATAAAAATTACTATTTTTATGTCTGAATGAGAGTATAATTTTTTTTAAATTTGTATTTGATTTAAAGCCGATTGTAAGTAGTCTACTGATGCTTTGCTTTTTGCTGTCTTTTTATGTAAAAGTTTCCATTGCAAATTGCCATCTGTATGTGTGAAAGAAGTTCCGAGTTGATTGAAGTTCCTAGCATCTCCATTGTGTGAACACATGAATAAAACTACTAGCCTTTCGTACGCAAGCTGGTTAATTTTCTTACACGGAAGAATAAAAAGACCCATGGTGGTAAGTGGCAGGTAAATTTAAGTCGGCGACATTTAACACTCTGTCAAAGAGGCCTTATACTGAAAATGTACGCTCCCTTCGCAGCTAATTGAAAACACTCACGTAAAATGAACGACGGTGAAATATTCGACTTATACAGCGCAAAAGGTACTTTAGATGTAATAAGCATTTGCAATGATATTGATTCTATGCGTTACCTTTTAACAATCACTCTGTCGCACTGAGCCTTATCCTTATATTTACAGGGCTAAGTTTGCTTCTTGTAGCAGTAGTATCATCAATATGGGCTGCAGAAGAATTTCAAGACGCACTGACATGTACCGAGATCAAAAGTATCGTTACTAAATTCTCGACATGTTTTGAATCAGAAAGTCGTATAAACATATATCGCCACATTGATGATATAATCTCTGCCGATGATTATGTTACCTCAGACAACATACTTTCGGGAATCAGAAACTTATGCAGGTGAAGTATTTTGATAAAAATGTCAAAACTAAAATACAACACCATTTTTAAGATTCGAAAAAAATATTTGTTTACCTAGGTTATACCAAAATTATTAATATGAACATAAAAATCAAACATTGAATGTTTAGAACCTTATTTTCATTGATTTTCAGCGATACTATCATTTATTCTCTTAAGTATTCTTTTCATAATAACTTAATATGAAGTAAAAAATTTGATACAATTTTAATCTATCTTTCTTATAATAAAGATAAAAAATGCGAATTTTTGACTTATGCGTGATATCGTCTTTCATATCGTCAGTTAAATAATAATTCAGGAATTATAAAATATTGTCAGAATTCTTTAAATTGAATGAATTATTTCACACTCCTGGATCTTATATTTATATTTTCCTAACTGTTGATATTAGGTATAAATCAACTTTTATAACATAGTTTAACCATTATTATACTGAAATTAATTCTTCTACAGTAACCTATACATTGATCTTTTTTATTGCTCGATCCCACATGCATATATGCAATATTTTACTCCCGATCCTTATGCCTTATATTGACACAAACGAATCAAGTAAAAAGCTAAAACATTTTTGACAAACTTTGTTTAGTATTTAGAAAGGTCTTATCTTCATGTTGAGCAGCTGCAGGTTATTTCAGGCGATATCTTAATCTGATTGTGCTGTCAATTAACATATCTTATAAGTAATGATGCATTTCTGTTAGTCTTAGTTATACCCATTTTTAAATTCTCATTCCTACTTTTGTATAGCGTCTTGGCATCTTGCCAAATATTTTAGCAATAAGTTTAAGAAGTGTGTGACTGTGATATAACGAATTTTATAATTGAATAATAATATAATTTTATTGAAGTTTGTCTTAAGGTAAACTATCAAATGCTGATTAATTTCATCATTTGCTTCATATTTTATTTATTATATTTTTAATTGAATGATTGATACCTAGCTGTAATAATTCGGTGTTAAAATGCAATCTAGTGTCGTAACATTAAGATTGATAGCATTTATTTGCACTGGATAAAGGCTCTCTATGTTATGCCACCAACACAGGGGAATAAGAGTCTCTTAGTTTTGTGCTATTTTTGTGCTATCCTTGGTGCTGGTGTACATGTCATGGCTTATTTGTTCTGCACCATACATGTTGTTTTTTAATGTCAGGGTATATGTATTATATACTAAAATCTATCTGTCAAATATCTTATTTTGTCCTAAGATATTTTATACAACACTCCTGAAGAATTAACAGTATTGTTTTGGTGGAAATGAACGTTTATCAGTAATAAATATATAAATTCATATGTATAACAAAATTAAATCATTTCTTTTTAGAGGAATAGCCGTTTATGCATAGCTTTATGAATTATAACTCCCCCAAGTGATACATCGTTGGTTATAGAGTGATTGTGATTTATAACATTTTTTTCTCGGCTTCCTTTGAAATAACAAGCTCTGTTGTTGTTTACTGATAAACGCACACGGCAAAACATTACATTTTCTATGCAAAGAACCTCATGAAGTTTTTATTTTGTTTCTGGTCCATCAACACATTAGCCACCAAATGAATTCTTCAATAAATAATTGTAAGAAACTGAAAACAATTTTTATCAGAAAAAACATGACCATTCGATATTTGATCTTTATATATATATAGCGACGAAAATAGGGCGCAAGCTTTTACCAATTGTAAAGATACCATCGTGTCAGAGTGCCCGGATGTAGAGACATTCATATCAGCATCTTACAGAGAAAAGTTTGAATTTCTATGCGACGGTAACGAACCATCAGAGTACATTCAACACGGTAATTATTCTATAAACAAATCAGATATATTTTGAGGCGTTATTTCTGTTTAATCATATATTAAGTATGCTGTTAAATCATTTAACCAATCTGTAGTTGCTCTTGTCATATTTTTCTTTCCGGCAAAGCATATTTCGCGAACAGTTAAGACAAGTAGCTTTTTTCTTATTAAAATCGACTTATCTCTAAGAAAGGAAATGCATCTAACATCTCTAAGATTAGAAATAAATCTTATGTTTTGATTACATTCTAATAAAAGGGGTTTCAATTTGGTCTTCATCCATACACACACTACCAAATTGAATGTATTTTATGCAAGTTACCAGTTTTACACATGCATTTTTAAAAAAAAAATTCTTTTACTACTAGTATTTTATGATGGATACACATTTGATAAATTCTGTGATCAACCTAATACGGAGTTTATAAAAGTGGTGGAAAAGTGCGAGGAAACCGCTGCAGACAGTCTTAAGGACATTAACAGTTGGAATATAACATACGCTTGGACTAGAATAAAGATGTAAGTTCTTTTACAGTTTTAGAAATATTGTCATCCGATGCAGATAATTCCATTGTCTTTTATTAAATATGTGCTCCACGCTCAATTATTTATATTTTGTACTTAAAGTGTGAAACAGGAATGGTTCAAATGTACTGCACCAGAAGATGTTCTTCCTGAAGGAAGATTTTGGTGTGAGTCAACAAAAGGAGACCTACTGGCTTTATACTGGCTAATACTTTCTGTAGCTACAGATATTCTGGAGCCACCGATAAGTGAGGAGGCTAAACTTGTGTTGCAGGTGTGTTTGGTTAAATGCAAATTTCACTATAGTAATAAGTCAAAAAAATAAAACGAGAGACAAAACTATAGTTGTGTTCTTACAGACGAGACTGGCTATGATGTAAATTAAGTGAAAGATGAAAGATGAAATTTGTTATAGGTACAATTGGTTATCAGATTCGACAATATTGCTTCTCGCTTTTCAAGGTTATTAGAAATAATGGAAAAAAACCAACAAAACAATCAGTCCTAACTTTAAATATTCAGCATTTTTAAGCATACAATAAAACATAAAACAAATAAATACATCGCCTCTGATTATGGTTTGATATTTTGACTAATTTTATTACCATTTATTGTTATACTTTTGTTTTGTCTTTTAGAATGCTGCCATTGCAAAACATCTCTCCCAAGCATAATACAACATTACTTACAGACGCGGAAAAAAGACTGCTTGAACTGTTTAATTTTTTCTATCAATAAATGCATTACAAAATATGCTGTGTTCTTTTATTTGTAAATTATATATGTTGCATACTTTATACTACCTTGACTAGTTTCTTTTTCATTTTTTGTGACGAATATATCAAAAGACTTTTTTTAAATTTCAAATTGATAATTTTTCCTTTCATTTTCAGATACTTAATAAATAGTTAATACATGTAATACCTACAAAACTAAACGTCTAAATAAATACTTCTTGCATATTTACGAAACCTCAATTGATTTGAGTCACGTTATTACAGCATTTCACTCCTACCTACCTTTGTTAGAGCCTGTCCAACATACATTGTGCATGAAAAGTTCTTGATTCTGTGCATGGACTCCGTTTGATTGAGCCAATCTATTGTCGTAAAGATAAAGTCTGCTTTTCACAATCAGATAACAGATTAAAGCAGGTAATATATCCTTAGAATTATTCAATCTCACTTTGGAATAACGTGCTTACCTTGTAACAAGAATATTAAGATATAAAAGAAGAAACTAAAATAACCACGAACACAACAATCATCGTGATGCACTCTGACTGAATTTACAGGATATGAAATTTTAGTCTTCACACACACGCACGCACGCACGCACACACACAAATATAAATGTAAAAAAAAACGCGGACACGGTAATGCAATAAAAAACGTCCTATTGTACCAGCACAAATTATATAGAAAAAAATAATATCTAAATACATGCGAGTTTATTCTACCTTTGACTATAATTAAGGATTTTCACTTTTCTTGTTTTGAGATAAATGCTGTTTCCCCCAAATTTACTTTATGATGGTAACCAACCATTAGATGATAAAAATAATTGAACTAAGAGACATGATGAAATTGAACCATTATAGTATAGACTTATGATTTTTTAAGATTGATGGGTTGTTGAGACAGCAAAGGTGATTCTATGGTTAAAAGTAATAATTACAATATTGAAGAAGGTTAATCAAACTGGTCCCTTGACACAATTTCCGCTAAAATCTAATAGAGAAAGTTTGTAAAATGAAATTTCAACTTTATTGTGAAAGGACATCGGCTTCGATGAAATAACTTGGCTATAATGAAATTAACAATACTAAGCCAGATGGGAATAATGCCAAGGATCTTCGTAATTTGGCTGAGCAATTAAAACAAGTTTTCTTCTTGGGGCAATTTTCGGGACTGTCATGAAACACTATGTATTAATTATGTACCTGTAACTTTTGTCAAATGACTAGACAAATAGTAAAACTAGCCTGCAATGCACACTTTGCAAACATTTCATAATTTCATAATTTCTAATTATATTATGTAAAATCTTTTACTTATAATTTGTCGAACATTCTAATGTACATGTATGTTATGCATGAACGCCTTTGATGCATTGTTCTATAAAGTATAATGTACATATTAAATTTATACAGAGGTAAAAAGAACGGTTGTTTTTATTAGATCACGCATATATTGTGAGGGTATTCTCGAGAATAATTGGAATATAGTAGTTTAAAAATACCACTTGTCGACTTTTCAGTAGTCATGTATTGGCTAATATTCTTTCTTCACTAGCTTATTTACCAATTCAAACAGCTGGTACCAATGCCAGTTACTGATAAGTTAGTCGAGTTGGACTGTAAAACTTTTATTATGTTGTTTTTGTTTGTTTTACAAAATAATGCAGTTTTTTTTCACTTATAAGAGTACATCTTTTATTATTCTAGCGCGAATGGTCAAAACAAACTGAATTGTTAATTTGCAGATTGAACAAAAACATACCGGTATATCAGATTAAACATTGTACGTTTTCGGTATTAAACATATTAAATATATATACTTTGCTCAAGTTTGATATTAGAACATATTGATAATTGCTACATAGCCTCTTTGTAAATATAAAATAAACATGTTTTTGCTTCATGCATAGTAGGTATGTTATGTTTAAAATTCTACTCACTATATGCGGTCGCAATATGTATATACAGTGTCATTAAAAAAACTGGCACTTTTTTAAGAAAAGACCAACTTTACTTGATCTGTAATAATAGTTTTGTTCATTCTATTATTCAAATTAGACATATTCAGTAAGAATTTCATAGATGTCAATAAATTTCTTTGAAAAAATTATTTTACTCAAAGATGAGCATAGAATAGCTTTAACTTTATTATCATAAGATATTTAATCTTTCTAAAAGACATATATTTTTATTATAAACAAATAAAATGCGTATGAATTACTATTTAGTATATAGGATACATTGAAGTAATATTGCTTTTAAAAACAATGTACTATATACTTTATATTTAATGTATTTCTTTAGGTTCTTGTCCTTTGACTTTAAACTATGCCATGTCTTGTCATCGCCAGCCATGTACATTGCAAAATAATAATATTGATAATAATGATAAACAAGCATGCTGCTCATACGGGCCTAGAATATTCAAACCTTAAATGATGTGTGATGGAATAAATCACATCGAATCGAGTTGGTAAAATATGTTAAGCATCTTCTTTTGTGCAATATTTTAGTTTTCAGCATTGGTGACATCACTAATTTAAACATAAGGCTGATACGGGAATAAAAAGTTCAAGGGTTACTTAATTAACCAATGAACTAATTGCAGACAGAAACAAAATCAACATTTACATTGTTCACACATACTATAGAAAATATAGAAGATCTATGACAGCAATAAAACAGAAACAAAATCAATAATAAAAAGGACGAAAGTCGCACAAAAACGTTAAGTGTTAGAATTTTGGTAAATAAGAAAGTATTTAGTAAGATATAACAGGTCCATAAAACAGTCAATTTAAGTATATAATCAAAAATATTTTGTTCAAAGGTTACATCATTATTAAGAAGAAAACGAAAAACAATTAGAACTTAATAATGATTTTTTTTTTAAATTAATTAACTCAATGACAAATGATGCTGATAAGCCGCATGTCATTTAATTTAATACATTGATGCAGTGATGTCAATTCTATAAATTGTACACAATTATTTCAATCCTAGACAACCTTGAATATATTAGCATTTTTATAGGAATGTGTGATTTGATAAGAACAAATGCACAGATATAATTTATCAATGTTCACAACTCCAGTGGTAATGCAATCAAAACATATCTGCAAGAATATCACATACCACATTTTGATTATTTATTAAACTGAGGTTTTTGCTGATCTATATTCCCTATATTTTGACGTTATTCTAAAATCCTGCGCTATATCGTAGCAAAAAAAGTATTTAAATGTCTTAGATTTATATAACTTAAATATTTCTGTTACATTTGCATATTTTCTGTATCAAAAAAGTGTATACATACATTATTCAGTTTAAAAGGAAGTTTGACAACATGGACAAAAAATGCGGGTAAAACACTATAAAAAAATACCATTTTTTCCATAGACTCTTAAATCACAGATATGTATTAATTAGTAAAAATGTTGAAATAGATCAATAAGTTTCTTATTAACATGCTGCTGAAGGTTTCACTCAATATAATGGAATAATTTTCTGTACTTATAGGAACGAACAAAAGTACATGTACCTTACTAAATTATCCGATACGTTGAAACCCTAAACTTCTATAATTTCATAAAACGGCCTTTTTATGAAAAAAATCTGTTCATGCTTCAGAACCCACTGTATGTCATTTTCAAGTACTGGAAAGATGATAATTCAATTAAGCCCATCAAATAAAATCTCGAATGACAACATTTTGGGCAGGAAAGCTTTGAATATCATCAAACGGTGATTTATTACCCTAAAGTTACTGATGAACTCACCGGAAAAAATACTGTATCAGTGGATAGTTTTGCGTTACAAAAAATTTGCGAATGTTAAAAAGCAGACTTTTTGCGTGCGGAAATATTTGAGCAATTGCCATGGCTTGTTTAATTACATAATTAGAGGTTTAACTTGTTGGTGAAGAAGTAAATAATCCCGACTACAACTACAAAGGCACAGACTCGTATAGTATAGCTTTCATTTTATTTCTTTAATAATTTTAAATGACAATAACATTGTCTCCATGCTTGTTTCTACTCGACCAAGTAATTGCTATAACAAATGGGATAAATTTCAAATGTTATACTGTAACAGTTTCTAAATATCATATTACCTAAATTCCAATGAGTCAAGTGAGTAAAAACACAACCCCACAAGGCTGTTCTTTCTCATTTATTTGAAAATTATAGAATTATTGATAAAAAAAGTATTTTGGATTTTTTCCTTTTCCTGATTTAACTGTGATTCATAAGTTGCATATGTGTCGTGTTGTATACATATATTCATCGGATACAGAAAAGTGTCTATTTACTATTGGTCAGGGAAAACAACTTCCGAGTATATAATGAGAACATCACTTAAAATGTGTTCGAAAATGACTTTTGTTTCTTTTTGAATAATTATTAAAAAAGGTAATGCAGAAATTGGTGACTGCACTTAGTTATATAAATTATCACATCCTTGACCAAGTAAGAATGTACCTCACATTTCGTAGCATAAAAACTAAGTTATGAATTTGGAGACATTTGTTTCAAGCGTATTCGCATGACATTATTCATTTAAATTCACAACATTTAACTAACATCGTTTGTTCCTCCCATAATATCAACGTCATTTCATTTTCTTGTAATTAAAACAGTTTTTGAAAGAACTTGTTTCATTTGTTACTGATGAAAGATTTTTTTTTATTCCCAAAGCATAATTGATTCTAAACCTAACTTTTACTATATATACGAATCTTTGCATAATTATTTTGTCTGTTTATGTCATTTTTACACGAACCTTATTGTTTAAATATACCGGTTAACTTTTCCCATGACTTATTACTTTTACTTCTCGACCACTTTTAGTTACCTTTCCTACAATTCCTCTTTTCGCATGTAGTTTCAAAAGGTATAACCTTGAGAAGGTTATGAATATGTTTTTTATTCCCTTTTTTCTTAACAAGCAAGCAGTGCTTATTTACAATGAAATAGGGCAGAACAGAAGCCATTGAACAGGTCTGAAGCATTTCTCCGATAGCATAAAATATTATGAAAATACTCA